GTTTTTAGGAGTGATATAAGGTACTGTAAATCTAATATTCCTCGTTTTGACTGTTTTTGGTTCTGACGAATTATCAGACATTCATTAGATTGTGATACGTCATTATTTCAAATATTTCAATTAAATGTTCCTCGTGTAATGTGTTTGACCAGTTTTCTTGTTTACAATAATGTATTAGGATTAATAATATTTTAGAGGTGTGATAACAACAATGATTCAATGTATCTTCCAGTATATACATTACGTATATGTGACGTGCCTTTTGTGATAGGACAACTTTTGCATTGCTACTTCTAATTTTAGTTACAGTATGAGCGATTTGTTAGTGCTTACTTTTGTATTTAGGAACGTTTCTTCTGTTTGGACTGACCAATACTACTGTATAACACTTGTTAATTATTTACAAAAAATATTGTACATGGAAAACGTAAAGAGGTATAATGAAAATAATACCATGAGGCAATATATAGCATTAGGTTTATGGTTTATGACTAAAACAGACTTTGCCAGGTTATTTTTTTTTTCTCAAGGAAAAAGACGCTATTGGGAAAAATGCCTCGATACAGTATGAAACAGTGGGTTGTCCGAAATGTATGCTTGGATATTGTTATATAATCTAATGATTCAATGTCGTTCAATGCTGTTATGTGAACATTCTGCGAAATAATTTATATGGCGCCCCTGGAACAGTTGGGGTTAAGGGCCTTGCTCAGGGGCCCAACGGAGTAGGATGCCTCTGCCGGCCGCGGGATACGAACCGACAACCTTCCAGTCACAGGCGCAGATCTGTTGATTTTTTAGGAGTAAAATCTAGTCTGAAAATAGAACAGTACTATGAGCAATAAGACATTTGTATCAGTACTAAATTAATCACTTGAACATAGTTTTCTCAGTTCTGACTTGGTGCATGCATTGCAGTTAGGTGCTTGTATGCTTTAATTTAGCAGGTGATTGTGGTACACAGGTGGTAAATGTATCACCTCATGTCAAATCAAGGGCACTAAACATGCGTGTGTGACTCATCATCGTTTCCTAGCCCCTAAGGTTTCATTTCTTCCTCACTTAAATTTTAAAAAATAGGCCGGTGTCTGTATTTAATATGGCCTCAGAAGTATTAGCATCAGAAGTGCCCTTATACTTCATGTAAATTTCTGAATATCACCAGCCATGGTGTTATGGTTTGAATCTGACAGTTGTATAAGATGTCACTGTGCTTAAATATTAAGTTCTTGAACATTATTTAAACGGATTGGCAATATCATTTTTTGTAATATGCAATTCCTAGAAATCATGGAATTTTTCAAAATTCCATTATTAGTGCACATTTGTGAATGAGGGAGGTTTACACCAGGAACTAACTGACCACAACATTTTGATTTATATTGCATTTTAATGATTTACATTTTTTGTAAATGGTTTTGATGTACTTTTGACTTGGTATTTAACAGATCGTGAGCACAGAGGGTCTTGCTTCTTTCAAAGACGCATTATATACTAAACTGTTCCTCTTATGTGTGTGTAGTTTTTTAAACAATAATCCAGATCTGGTATACTGGTTTGAAATATATATGGAATAATTTGACTTATGCATCCATTCATTGTGTCCTACAATGAATGTTGCTTAAGCACTAGACCTTCCTCATTATTGAGGGAATTGATTGGGCCCTGGTGTTGATTAGATTTTTTTAATAGGTGATCATTTTTGGTAATTGATGGCAGCCTGACTGCACAGTACTATGTTGATCAAGTCTTGGGGTCTGATTTTGTTGCCATTCTTGTGGGCCCATTCTTCATTATACAAATATCCTGCTCTGCCTTAATTTTGATTGTATTTGATTTGCTGCCCCCCACCGCTGGATTCCTGGGTTCAGTTCCTTGGGTGCAGTCTGCCTGGAGCTTGTTCTCCCTATGTTCCCATGGGTTTCCTCCCACAGTCCAAAGATATACTGGTAGGTTAATTGGCTTCTGGAAAAAGTAGCCCTGGTGTGAGTGTGTGCGTGTCTGTGTCTGAGTGTCTATCCTCCCCGCGTTTGTTGCTTGCCAGGATAAGCTAAGGCTCCCTCGCGACACTGTATTGGATTATTGGATTAGAAAATTGATTAATTATATATAATGGGAAACTAATTTAACACTGTATCAAAAACTGTAATTCATCACTTTTTCGGTAGATGGCAGAAGTGTGCTGTTTTTATTTTTAAAATTCTATGGCTTTTGGTGGCAGGTGTATGTACATTACATTTTGTCTCATTTAAAAAAGAAACAAATACAAATTTGTTGTGCTAAGGATTTTAATTTATATACATCAAGACAATGTAGGACAGGGATCTCCAATCCTGATCCTAGAAGACCCCAGGCCAGCTGGTTTTGTAGGTCACTATTAGTTTAATTAATTTTTGTTTTCAAGGAAATTGTGTTCATATGTTCTAGGAATGCTCCCTTTTATGGACAAATAAGTCAAACAAGTTTTAATTGTTGTACAACAGTATTAATAAGATGCAGTCTATTATGAATTTCCCATAGGCCAAAAGGTTTCGATCACAAACTTCTAAAGACACAATAATTTATTCACTTAAAACAGGATTTTTTTTTTAATCAAGCAACGCAGAGATTTTTTTATGAATACAATGTAAGTAATCTTCAGCCCTCAAGGACCAAACTTTACTTATTGAACTGATTATTTGCTTGTTTCAGCAGTGCGCATGAATACAGGTGTTGCCCATCTACAAAAACATGTGACCTATAATACTTAAGGACTGGAAATTTCCAGGATGAGGGTTGGAGATATCTTGTTTGTTAATCTACATGTGACTCCATTTGTTTCCTGCTTAGTTATTGTTTCAGTCTGATGAAAACTGTAAATACATTTAAGTGCCAAAAATACTGTTTCTTATTTTGGAGAGTCCTCCAAACAGATAATGAAAGCCTACTCCAGTTGAAAGTGATCCAAACAAAAGCTTCATCATGGATTTAAAACATGTAAATTATAAGAATATTTAAATGATAGAAAAAATATACCTATTTCTTTGAATATCAGTAAGGCAGATAGTTACATTCTGAAAAGACTCAAGTAGAATTATTCATTATTGAGTTTTAAGCCTCTAAAACACAGCATGTAAATTCTCAATTGTATTCTGGAAATATTAATATTGGAAAAGGTGTACAAAAATCCAAATACTGCAGTATATAATGAATTGAAAGAGCACTATATCTGTGCAGTTTCCTTTATTTTATAGCCTTTTTTCTTTTCAATTTTATGAATTGATCACAAGAAAGTGTTATTTTGGTTGGTAATTAATCATTACTTATTAAAAGCTTAATTTTCATAGAGAGAATGAAGTAACTAGATGTTGTTCAGAGAATGTGGATTATTTTTGTTACTACTAATTAACACTTTAAGTTCAGGCAACATACAATAAAAGCAATCCACATATATGGTTGCTGTAACAGATGTTTCTTACTATATATTTTCCTCCTTGTTTATGGCGTTGCTGTGTTTTATCATGTTGACTGTAAGTATGGTATATGTTGTGTGCTCAAGTACAAGAAAAACTTCAATTGAATGTTTCTCGACTTGTCAAAATATACTTTGAATATTACTCATCATGACGCTCCAGTTTATTTACTTGCATGTTATTATGGTGATTACACTAATTAAATATTACATTATTATGGTTCAGAGATTATGCCAGTTGTAATTTAGCTTTGAATGTAGTCACTGAAATGTCTGAAATATGCTAACCCTGTCTGAAACATTTGTCTGTGCATGAAGTATTTTTTAAGTATACATTTGGAAATGGTCTATATAGTATTTATCCGTCTTATTGGAATTAGTAGTCAGGTAAGTGGTAATTTTAAAAGTAAAAGTTCCATTACCTTAGCAACCTCTACTGTTCATTTATTAGCTTGTTGAGAATTCAGAACTGATTACAAGCTTTATCTAGAAAAGCAAAAAGAACAAGGCAACAGTGCATAAGTGCATAGAATTAGAAAATGCGTGACAACGTTGTCCAAAAGGTTCTTAAGTTGTGAATAGGTTTTAGGCCCATAGACTACATTAAAAGAGAAAGCAAGGTTTCCAGTGAGAAATGTGGAGTAGCCCTTATACTGAAATGGTTAATTGACAGCCAGATAAGTCTGCACCTCGGGCAGTTTTACAAGGGTGTAAGGCAGATCCGCTTGTATCAGGTAACTGATGTTAAAGAACACTTCCTGTCCAAGTGCATTAATATAGCCTGGAGGGAGATTGCTGAAAAGTCCTCCTACACTGATGTTAGGCATTTTGGTCATCTCCCACAGAAATACTGACTGAAAGAGAACTAAAGTCTGTTACCGAAAACAAAACCCATCCAAAACCTCAGACCCAGCCTGAGCACAATGTTTGATGTCGGTGAAGAATAAATTATGTAACGCACAAACCTTTCTGAGCAACACTTTGCTCAGAAAAGTGTAGTCAGCCATTATGAAAATTGACTTTCTAAAAACAAGTGTACTTTGACATGTTCATCCATCATTCACATAAAGTTTTCTGCAACTTATTTTTGGGGTGCTGTTGTATTTGAGGAGGACATGACAAAGTACTTTGTTGGGAATATCAGATTTTGTAAATGGGAAGGGGCAACTTGACCTATCTTGCTTGTTTATTTTTTAGTGAGAAGTTGATCCAAGGATCATATCCAGCTTTTACTTGAAAGAAACTTTGTGTAAAAACAACCTCCTGTTTTCAGTTGTAAATGCACCTTCCCTTATAGAAGTTAGAACTGTATTGTTTTCAAATTTGACAGTAAAAAATACAAAGTAGGTTACTGTAGTATGGTGGCATGGGTCCAGGGATTGATACATGCCTACAATTCCCATTCAATCAATGACCAAAAAGCATAAGACTTTTATGATAAGACTGGTAAGACTTAACAGTTCAGTGTAATTATTTATCAGTATAAAGATGGAGTTTACAATTGATTCATTTCTGCTTCACTACACTTGTACCAGCAGTGCTTTTATTTTTTAAAAATAAAGTTCTGTTTTTCTTCAAGGAAATTGTTGTTTTAACTGAGTAAACACTATTATTACTATAGTATGATGTGATTGGTAGGCTTTACTTAGCCCAGTAGGTTGAGTTGAAAGCTGAACAGTCTCTTTGTAGCCAATGGACGTTGACACCTATGTAATACAAATAATGTAGAACCAGATGGCATTCTTAAGAAGCCCGATAGTAATTGAGATAACTAGGCGTCTGGGAGTTCAATTACACACCCAGGAGACTAGAAACAAAGGGACGTCAAGCAAGAGAGCAAGAGCTCATTCAGTGGATAAAATCCGCAGGAAGTAACAATGCATCCTTGTGAAGAATATTCAAACAGAAATCCGCATGTGAGTCAGCTGGCTTTTCATTGTTCTTTTCTCATGCTGTGTAACATGTACTATCATCTCTAGACTGAGACTTCTAAACTCTGGTAATCGGGAAGGTAGGGGATTTTAATTAACGATTAGCAAAATGTCTGGAATGAATGGACGTTTTGTATTGTGCTGCCGGAAGATGCAAACCGAGAGCTCTAGTACGGATCGCAGTTTATCCTCCCCGACTCCTTTTCACTTCTCCGCTGCATGTGTGGCACGGAGCAAAGCTGGGTTTGAAGTGCTTGCTGCTTTAGTGGTGTAGCGTACACACAGCAACGATTCGTGTTTTTGGTGATTTAACGGTTTTATCGAGTGCTGTTCTGTTCTTTTTAGCAAATGCCGTTTAGATTCTTACAATGCCTTTACTAAACTGCATCGATAGGATCTCTGAACTACGGCATGTTTAAAACATTTCGGGGGCTGGACGTGTAGGTTAGTTGAACCGTTTAGGAATATTTATGAAGAAAGCAAAACGTATAAGATAAAGAAGTTGTAAGAGGGTCTTTGGAACATACTTATGTTGGAGAGCAGTTAGCAGTTCAGACACTGTGCTGCCAACTTTTTGTCCACAACGAAACTGTTAGTTTTGAAAAATTAACTTAATGTAGCCAATTATAATACACAAAAGACGTTCAGTGGCTAGACGTATTATCAATGCATTCCATTTTATTTTCCCGAAAATACCAATATCGGAAGAGCTGACTATTTTAACCTGAATTATATAAAACCTTGTTTTAAAAAAGTCTTCGAAAGCACATGGATTGCTTGAACAATGGTCTTGTGTTGTCACGGTTAACTAGAAATAATAGTAGCATTCAACGTGAGAAACAGACATTTCAATTAGAATTACTTGAGCAATTAAGGTTAGTTCTATCTACTTTTAGGGTTTGGTGAGGTGAAACAGTCAAATAAGTATTTTTAGGGGATGTACTTTTTCACCACACTGTATGTCATGAAACCCTAAAAACACAAGAGTTACATTTATTCACAGCACTGCACTGAAGCTGACTGTTGTAAAGTGCCTGTGAAAGAAATGGGCTATAGTTGTCATGGTCAGGCGTTTGGAAGTTACAGCATATGGAGTATGCAGAGTTTCTCACAGTGTCCCACCCCTAGTAGAGAGATGCTTTGTGAATAGTGGTTTACAGATTGTTTGAAGGGTGCAGTTGTGTTTCAACTTGGATGTCAAAAGAGAAACTTTCAGTAAAATCAGCAGTGAGGATTCAAGGGCTTTATTTTCTTGAAGGCACTTATCCCTCAGTTGTGTATAATTACTCTCGAGTTGATCTTGATGGAGAGAAAAATATATTTTGTGTTTTAGAATTTATCATAAATTAGGAAGAGGATTGGTCCTGATATAGATTCCTGTGGTTCTCCACTCATTACACCTAGAGATGTGATGAAGAAATATTTAAATAATGAATTGAAATCAACTCTTAACATGAAATTGCAACTCACAACTGGCAGCCCACTAAAGCTCAGCAGGTGTGAGCCTGGTCAGTACCTGGATAGGAGACCTCATGGGAAAGCTCAGGTTGCTGCTGGAAGAGGTGGTAGTGGTGCCAGCAGGGGGCACTCACCCTGTGATCTGTGTGGATCTTTATGCCCCAGTTTAGTGACGGGGACACCTATACTGTAAAAAAGGCACCACCCATCGGACAAGACGTAAACTGAGGTCCTGGCTCTCTGTTGTCATTAAATATCTCAGGGCTTTTCTCAGAAAAAAAGTAGGGGTGTTAGACTTGGTGTCCTGGCCAAATTTCCCACTGGCTTTTACCAATCATGGCCTCCTAATAATCCCCATCTATGAATTGGCTTCATTACTCTGTTCTCCTCCCCACTGAAAGCTGATGTGTGTTGAATGTTGAATGCCCTATGTTAAAACTAACTGTGGCTAAAAAGCTAATCAGCACAATTTGTGGTTAATTACTTCCGCTCGAATTAAAACATCTAGCTTTCAGCATTCCTTCCTTATCTGTATTTTAATTTGTATTCTGAATACATGTATTTCCTTAAACGCCTGTGGTCTTCAATTTAAGAATTAATCTTCTGTGTGGAATTTTATCTAAACCTCCCAACAAACTATATCATTTTATGAGTGATATATTTGTATACATTTCTGCTATTGCTTGTCCAAATAATTATTTGTTTACTTAAACTTTACTTAGTGTCTTTCTCTTATTTTGCTATATCTCCATTGTTTGTTCTTTCCCATGAGAGGTCAGGCTGTCAAACAACATATCAACATTACACCCAAACAATATTTTTCAAGCTAGCCTCTGGAGACATTGTCTTGTTTCTTTCAGACATCTCATTGCAGTCTCTAATATTTTAAACCTATTTGATAACATTAGTGGACTCTCAGATTGTGAAATAAATTAATTTCTGTTCTTCTGCCTCTGAATTTTGTTGCCAGGTCAACTTCACTTTCACCACATATTCCTCAGGTTTTCTCTATTTATGCATTAAAGTAATCCCAGATTTCCATTAGATTCATAAAGGAAAATGTGCTTGAGGCCGTGAGTAAAATTAGATTTAGCTAGAATGTCTGCTTTACGGGTTACATTTTATAATATGGTCCTCATGTAGTGTAGTGTCACGTTATCTCACATAATTGTATTTTTTTGCCAAGGTCCCCCATTCATCTCCACAATTATGACTTGCAGAGAATACAGTGTTATAAATAGTAATAACCTTTATTTATATAGCTCCTTTCCAAACAAAAGGATGCTGTACAAAGAGATATGAAAAATAAATATAAAAAACTAAGAACAACAACAAGAAGAACATACAGGATAAAATGCAAAGTAATCAGACACAGGCCCTAATAAAAAAGTGCACAAGGTTAATTTATATATAAAATGTATTTTATATAGCACCTTTTAAAGGTGGCCTTCTCAAAGCATTTTACAGAATGACAACAATAAAAAAAGAGAATACACAAGATAATACACAGAGGAGACTGTGGATGGTGGTACTAAGTATAGTAGGAGCAGAGGGGTAAAGAATTATGTCAGAACCTGTTAGGGCTCTTCTAAAGAAGGTTTTGAGTCTGGATTTGAAGCAGTTTAGAGAAGGTGAGTCTCTGATATCCTTGGGGAGAGAGTTCCAGAGCTTGGGGGCATAACAGGAGAAGGCCCTGTCACCCACAGAATGTAGAAGGGCTTGGGGTACAGTTAGGAGACCAGAATTAAAAGAGCGAAGGTTGTGAGGTGGGGAGTAGGGTGATAATAGTTCAGACATGTACTGAGGTGCCAAGCCATGCAGAGCCTTATAGGTGAGCATGAGGATTTGACAGGAAGCCAGTGCAAGTACTCCAGGATAGGAGTAATGTGAACACTTGTACTAGACCACGATTCTGGCTGCCGAATTTTGGACATACTGCAGCTTATTCAATGTAGATTTAGATACCCCAGCAAGTAGAGCATTACAGTAGTCAATTCGCATGGGAGCGAAACACAGAGACGCTCTGTGTATTTTTCTTAAATTAACCTAGAACAGTTCTTAAATATTTTTCTGTTATCTATCACGCTTTCCTATGCTCACAAGATTGCCAGCGTTCGTAGTACACATTTCTATGCTTTCCTGTGCTTACAACATTGGCATTGTTCCCTATTTGCTGGAGATAACTTTTTTAAATACAATTGGTCACTTACGTTCGTAGCATGCATTCCTATACAATGGTATAGAATTATGTAGTAGCTGTTGTGTCCGCTCAAGTATTAGCGCACACTGTATCGTAGTACGTAGGTAGCGTATTAGACACAAACTAATTTGAATAAAATAGAAAATATGAAAACCCGCCCCAGTTTTTCAGTGCACACAACAAAGTTCCAGGGTCATATGGCGTACCACCTGGCGGTTCTCCGCTTATCACAAGTAGAACGCATACCATAGTTTGAGAACCACTGCATTAGAGATTTGAAGGTAATTGGTTGCTTTCTTGGAATCCCCATTACATTTAATAAACTGTCCTTTTGTTAATCCATTTACCTCCCCACCCTAGTTTACAAGAGATGTTCACATTCTTGGTCATTTCTTTGGTTTCCACAGCCTTTGCATATGTTAGTATCTGAGGAAAGTGCTTCCTGGCTTTTCTATCTGGGGCTCCACTCTGCTAATGGGTGCCACAATGCACTGCTTTACCTGTCACCCGGTGCCTGATATACTGTAGTTATTTCAACAGCCATTACTAGAGGTATAGTCTCTTCTCTGTATAACTTTATTCTGACACGTAACATCGGCCCCCAGTTATGTTCATATAGGATAGAGGGCTAGACTGTTTGTTCAGATGGATCCTGCTTGGAATGTAAACTCAGATAATGCTTTTTTCCCTCTGAAAATGTAGCAGCTAATCTATTTTGAACATGTAATACTATAACAGTAGTTGTGGATGAAGATTTACAATCGGTGTTTGTAAATTATTTAACACAACATGTTTCTGGGACTCGTTAATGTGGTTCTAAATGTGACCAATGTGAGTGTGCTATTAGGGCATGTCTGCAGTCAGAGTACAATCTAATCTAATTGTAGCATAAAAATATTTCTGCAAGGTTGGGTGCAGACTGAGACAGCATTGAATTGCAGCTGGTTACAGTAATTTGCAGAAATAGTACTATAGAGATAATAGTTTCGAGAGAAATGCAGCTAGATTAAATTGTGCTGGTGACATTGTTGTCAGTCATTCTTTTGTTTTGTTTACAAGGTTTTTATGATTAACATTGTTACCCCCTTTTTATTTGTTTTATTCTATAAGATGTTTTTTATGGTATGTGTGTTTCAATATTTATTAAAAGAACACACTATTGTTAATGTTTTGTATTTTGTTCATTCATCTTGTGCATGATGTACAGTATTATTAAAGTAGTGCAACAGCTTAAAAGATTTTGCTACTGGCGACAAAAATGTTTTGGGATTTCAAAGGAGGCAAGTGCTTCTATAGACATGTTTGATGCCCTTTTTTTACAGATTTACCCATTATACGTTATGAAATTACATAACATTTCTAATGCAAAAAACAATACAAATATTTGAAATCACATAAATCTCAATCAAGTTATGTATAATCATCCAGCAAGAATTTAGAAATGGTCCTGTGTCAACATGGTTGTTGTCCAAACCGAAGGCTGAACTTGACAGTGATGACTAAAAAAGGTTTTGTGGTTTATTCCCATTGCAAAAAAATGGGCTTTTCTCTTTGTAAAACCTTTTGTGTGTTCTGTATTTTCATGCAACAGTGCTACAATTTCAGGAAAGTCCACGTAAGTATTTTTGTCTTTTAGCCTCACAACCTACTCGCATGAAATGCCAGGGCTTACCTTGACATCAGATGCTGGAAAATAACCCAATGATAATATCAAAATAATAATGTGTCAATCTACATACAGTTTCAAGTTTATTAAAACCTTGGGAAGGGTTTTCACTGCTGTAGTATTCTTTCTTTAATGGAAAAACACAAAAAGGCTGTTTTCCCTTTGTTTTAATAAATGTTGGTGAACCAAGACCTATGTATATTTTAAGTAATGATGTATATTATTATATATATATAGCTCTAGAGTTGTTTGTGGTATGAGTGAAGTTCATCTTGTATTGTAAAGCTTAATTTTTCCTTCCTTCTTTTTGTCCCAGGATTTATATTACGTGAGCATACAGAGACAAAAAGAACAAATGGAGCAAAAGGAGAAAAACAGCAGGAAGAGGAAGCTGAGAATTTGTGTGGCTACATGTAACCGGGCCGATTACTCAAAACTAGCTCCCATTATGTGTGGGATCAAAGCCGATCCGGACAGCTTCGACCTGGAGGTGGTGGTCTTGGGTTCCCATCTTATTGATGATTATGGGTAAGTAGGAGCTATTTAGTGTGGAGATCATACTCCACTTACATAGTTCTGGGTTTTATTTAACCACCACTCATGTATAAATATAGGTAATTTAAGAAAAGTTCAACGTGTGGATGACACATAAACATGGGTGTAACAGGTGTTAACTGGCTTGAGTAAAAAAGTACTAAGGAAAAGGTTTCCATATTATTTTGCTGCACTTGCATTGCACACTCTTATATGGTTGGTTGTTTGCTTGGTTTAAGCCGTCCTTGTGATCTAAAGCAGTTACCAACTTAGCCAGAGTAACAAATTGCATTAGTTTAATTCTGAATTGAGTTAATCTGTATTTAGATTATTTCTAGCAGCTAATAAAATTAAGGAACTATATCCTATCAAAGAAGAAAACTGATAGTGCCTTATGCCAGCAATTTGTTTTATTAATGTTTTTCCTTTCTGATTTAATAGTAGAATCAGAATTACTCTTGCTAAATGAGGCTCCAGTCATATCAATAAGGGGTTTACTGTCAGAGACACATGCTAGAAGAATGTGTAGCCGTTGCTAGAAGCATTGCAATTCGATCATCTCTGCTACACGCTTTGTACAACATTGCAGATGCTGTCTTGTGGTATTTTGTCCCACTTTTCTTGTAGAGCCTAGAGAAGCATGTGACTGAACACTGATCTCTAAACACCTAAGGCTTAATTGAAGCAGGCTGACATGATCATCAGTGTTACGCAAGCAGCATGACATGCATTATGCTGCTGGAATGTTGTCTTGTAGGAAGTGAGGAATCAAGAGTTGATCACTGTGGTGTAATACAATAAGATAAGATCACTTTATTAGCCATATACTGTACAATTTCTTGTATTAGGAATTTGTCTTTTCACATACCCTTAACTTGCTCTCCATGAGACACACAGGCACACAGACAGGGAGAGAAGCCTGGGGTCAAAGCATAGGGTCAGCCGTTTATACAGTGCCCCTGGAGCAGTTGGGGTTAAGGGCCTTGCTCAGGGGCCTGACGGAGTAGGATTCCTCTGCTAGCCGCAGGCTATGAACCGACAACCTTCCAGCCGCAGGCGCAGATCCATAGCCAGAGAGCTACCACACCGCTCCCTTTCAGGTGAATCACTACATCTGGGGTTCTATACCAACAAGAGAATCCTGTCCAGATCATGACATGTCAACCTGTCTGTCGCTTGGTCTTCCAAATCATGACCTAGGCTTTAATTTCAAAAGGTTAAATCATCTCATGACTTGTGACCAATTAACTCTTATTCTCTCAGTGCGGATAAAGTCACTCAGTAAAGGAAGATTTCTTTTAATGCTCAGCATTTTTTGGATGAATACAATTACTTTCTTGTAACTATAAAGTTCTGAAGGCTTTTTTAATGTTTTCATATGAGGATTGCTATCTGTATATTTGGCAAATGCAGAGATTCTGCTTCATGTGCTAAAGCCTCATTAAATTGCCACTTTGCACTGAATTTATCGCGAAGTGGTTTATTTTGTGTGATCCTGTACTTACCCGGAAAGTGAACGTATTCAACCTTCACATAGGAAGCCAGGTTTGGTTAATAGAAGGCTAAAAAAGAAAACTTTAATATTATTATTTACAGTCTTATATCTGCAATAGCTACATGCATAATGTACTAAATGTAGTGAAATACCATAGCCATAATCATGAATTGGAAAACACTTGTTGTACAGATTATCTTTTAAAGCACTTATTTACTCATTCATTCTCTATTAGGTTAAGTACAAGCTGTAGAAATGTTAATGTGTGATAAGCTATTACAGTGGTGTGAAGTAAAAGTAGATAGTTATTGTAAAATGCCTCTTACAGTTATTATTAACAAGTCACTACCTGCAAGTTATCTGTAGACTCTGTTTGGCTGGTAGGTGTGTGTGTTTTGTAAAACTGATTCTGCCTGTTTGAAGACGTGGCAATTCAAATACAGTTCTTACATCTTCCTTTGAAGGGCTCTCACTCTGCCTCTTTGTTTCTCCTAAAACCATATTCTCCAGGCTGCAGCCAGATTGCAACAGGTAGTACTGTCCAAAACATTAATTAAGCTTTGCTACATACACATGTACACTACTGAGTAGACACTTAAATCAAGTTCTAGGGGATGTAGAACAATAACATAGTGCACAGTGTTCGTGTTTCAGTTATGAGGTGAGTTGCGATTTGCAGATAACAAGGGGAAGTAAGCTTCTGCAGCTGTTGTTGCAGAGGCTGTTGGTTTAATGTCATTCCATGGGCAAGCACAAGACCTTTAAAGAACAATGAATTAGGGCAAAATATAAGGATTAAACTTGGACAGGATATGGCATGGGTATCAGGAGGGATGCATGAGAATGCTGGAGATGGAACAACAGAGCCAGTGTTGGGTAATACAAAATCATTGTTGAGCCACAGATTTAAAGACATGATCTCATTAGGTGATTTCTTTGCTTGTTATTGACCCTCAGAAACTGTTTTTGTTTACTAAAAAGACAATAGGATCATTTTAGTGATTTCAGTTTTCTAATGTTTTATAGAAGTATAAAATACATATTTCTTACAGAAGGATCCTGAAGTCATCTAAGTAGGTGGCTAGCTACTTTTGACGGATAATGAAGTAACAGACTCTTTTCCGCTGATAGTAGCTGTCTGTGCTCAAAGGCTCTCAATCATGTAGTGAAGAATGTCTTCTAGCAGATTGGGGTTCACAATAACTGCAGGACATGACTTTTTTTTCCCTTTTCCTTTCCTTAAAGAGGATTGCTAACCAACATCACATGACCTGGCCTAAAACACTCGCTCCATTACCGAAGAAAGACAAGCATTCATTGATCTGAAGCAACAGCCACTCTGTATTATTACTTAACAAGGAAATTAAGATCTTTGCAGAATTCTAACTCTCTCTGTTGGAGGTTTTATATAAACTGGTTTGTCTGGACCAGGCAGGTTTCATTCAAGATGAACTCCCCTGAGATCATCTCTGCAGATTTTTTTTTTTAAATTTAATCACTCCACCTTTTATTAGTCCTTTCCAGATTAAAATTTAACTTGTTTTACTTCCTTTTTTATGGATTCTTCATACAACTTCAAAAGCATTGATAAAATAGTCAATATTTAGTTGATTTAATTTGTCAAATAATAGCACATCTTGTACTTGTTTACAATGGCTATCAAATTATATACAAGTGTGGTAGATAATATAGGGTGGACAACTGACTGCAATTTTCAAGTTTTTTCTACCGGTTTGTCTCTTAGGTTTTGTCGTGACTTTTACTGAATTACTTGGAGACTACTTTCTTCTTCTTAAGCCTTGTTATATTTCTGTGTAGCTTTGGCCTTGTGGTTTGGGTCATAGTCCTGTTGAAAGGTGGATGTATTGTCCTAGTTTTAGAATGAGACAAAGATGGGTTCGCCAGTACAAGCCAGGTTTGTTGACTCATGGACACCAAATACCATCACAAACTTTGAACTCTATAGCTCTGTCATAGTTGCCTTGACCTCAAGGTGGCATCCCTAACTATTTCCCTACCTTAACCAGCTGTTCAGTATGAAGGGGCAAACTGAGTTTGAGTTGTCAAAATAATATTGTACACCTAAACTCAGATTAGGTTCGTTATAGCAATAGGGGTGATACTTTGCAAAAAAAATCTAAATGTAATGCGTTGATTACATGTTTTTCTTGACATTTAACCTCTTTCACCCATTGAAGTGCTCAGTATAAGCATTCAAGTTCAAACGTCAGGTAAACAAATATTAACTTTATAAAAGTTGATACATAATTTGTGATTCATCAAATCAGAACATCACTGGAAGAGGTTGAATACATTTGGAAGACACTACCAGAGTTTTATTGTAGAAGGGGGGGGATCTAAAAGGCAAATATGAATATGGTAAAATAACTTTATCGTTTTATGTTAACACTTGACACACTTGCATGAGACCTGATAGCCACTGCAAACACAACAGTATCAACAAGTAAAGTGAGAGATTTTCTACCCTTTGACAATCTAATTTTCACAGAATGGGAAGCTTCTTTTATGGGTTCCTATTGTCAGTTGATATTGATGCTAGTCTAGTTGGATAGGTAGACTCTAAATGGACCTATGGCTTCACAGTCAGACATATCTGCCATTAACATCCCCAGAGCACACCTTTCTCTCACATTCTCAAGCTCTTGGCATCCTTGTTAACCTGTGTGTGAACCTTTCCTACTTGCAAATATAACATGGCCTTGAGTGTTTGCACAAGCAAATTTCCTGCTGAGCGTCTGTTGTCTCACTTTCTGCTGTTTTACATCCCGGATGTGACTATGTTCACAAAATGAGGATGTGGATTCTGTCATTTTCTGCCGGCATATTACAACATGGTAGAATTTTCAAATTAGTTACTATTTCTTAACTGATGATTAGAGATAAAAGTACATGTTACTATTGAGTATATTCAGATATCTTTGATGCCTCTTTTGGGCTTGCATGTGAATAATTTTTAAAGCCTTTATTTGAAGGTTGATGACCCCATTTGAAGTGTATCACAATAAATGTACAATTACTTTTTTACTACAATAGATTTTGTGGAAAGATGGGATTGGACTGTTTAAGTAGCTGTCAGCTCATATAAAATATTTTTCTGTTTTTCAGGCCCAATTTTCTGGTTTCCTTTATGAAGACACAGTAGTACAAGGAAGTTATTTTAAGTGTGTAGTTCCAAAGCCCCCTAAAGTAGTGAAATTGTAGTGAAATAGTGAAATAAATAGTGTTTTATAGAGTAAAATGACTATTATCAGAAATATACTAGTTGCTTGCCAAGTGTCATTGTAACCTAGAGTCTATCTCTAGTACCTACATTGCACAGGCACACACGAATGACAATTCAGAGACCCCAATTAACCTAAGCAACATGTCTTTGGCGAGTAGAAAGAAATTGGCGCACCTGGGAAAAAATCCAATGCAGACATGTGATGAACATGTAGTCTCCACAGAGCAGGTGGCCCAGATCGGATCTGAGCCCAGGGCTCAAGGGCAGTGAGAACATTTTAATGACCTTACAGCTGTACTGATCACTACCTATAAGGTTATAAAATGATTAATGAATTAGAAGCTGAAAATAATGTTAACCTGCTAAAGAGCCATTATGAATTACATTCACATATTAATATTTAAAAATACTCTGAAATAAAGAAAGGAATTAAACAGTTTGACTTGACTAAAAACAGGAATCGGAAAAATAAATATTGGTCCTTTGAGTAGTAGTGGATGACAGTAGTAATACCAGTGTAGCACCATGATACCATCAATTTGGGGGCATGTTGCTTCTCTGATAGTTTCAAGTCTACTACAAAGTAGTAGAGGTTTAAAGAGATTCAGGTTAAATGGGTTAAAAATTTATACTTGTATTATTGAATATAGAGATTTGATGAAACGATTGAAGTATTATGGGCACAGTTCTTGAGAATTACATGTTACTCATGTACTGCTAACCTCTGGGTGAACAGAGCTGAAACTTTTCAATACTGCTTAATTCACTTTGGAGAGATGAGGGATGCCATGCTGGTGCATAGACTATGCTGTGATGAACACCAGTCAAACTCCTAGGGCACTGCTCTTGTATCAACGGGCAGTAGATTGTTAATGTGTTTCGTTTATTTTTTTTATTTGTAATGTCCAGCGTGAGTCAACTTCCAGTCTTCCAGTCAAGTCTTGGCCTTTATAGGGACTTGGCTCACCTACACAGATTTGGACTCCTTCAGACTGGACGGGGATACCACAGTAATATTAAATGCAGTAGGGAGGTGTTGGTGCATCAGCGAAAGATGGTGCAGCAAAAGTCACAGTGCAGGAAAAACTTGTTTGCCTGATATTGAGCTTTTGACAATATCAGCAATATCCACCCAGTGAATTCTTGAAGATATTCATAACCCTTGTATACATTTATTTAGAAGCAAATTAAACAAATGTGGTTAACTGCATTTATAATGCCATTCAATCTCTGCCATGTGATTCGCCTGATTTGCATTGGTAGGTTTGCAGATCATAAAACAACACAAAACCAAAATCTTAAAGAGGTTCAAGTAAAATAATGTTGCAATATGTAAACATTTCATTGAAGATGGAGATTTCATGATTAATCAGACAAAAGATGTAGCATGCCTACAGTTATTGAGAATTATATTTCACTCAGGCACTGCTAACCTCTGGGTGAATACAACACAGAAAGTTTAACTATCACACTAAACTTCCAATTGTATTCTTATTCTTAAGACTATTCTGTTAAGTAGTGTTGAAGTGTTTGAAACGGAGACAAATACTTTATTTTCCAGTCCAGAGGATAAAAGTTCTCTTCCTTTACTCCTGAGACAGGTCCGTAATATGCTTTTAAAACCTCCAAAGGGCTCTAAACATTGCGATTGTATGCAAATCCATTATTGTCATGCAGTTTAGGAGAGTTCAGAATGACCATGCTCAGTGTGTTGAAATAAATGTATTATGTACCACGCAAAAAGAAATACACTTGCTAGCTGTTAAGTCTGTAATGATTAGATTCTATGTGCTCCTCTTCTTTCTCTGTCTCTCAGCAACACTTATCGGATGATCGAGCAGGATGACTTTGACATCAGCTCTAAGCTCCACACTATTGTGCGTGGAGAGGATGAGGCAGCCATGGTAGAGTCGGTTGGTTTGGCCTTGGTCAAGCTGCCTGATGTGCTTCACCGCCTTCAGCCGGATGTGCTAATTGTTCACGGTGACCGCTTTGATGCTTTGGCTCTGGCCACTGCTGCTGCGCTCATGAACATTCGCATCCTGCATGTGGAGGGGGGAGAGGTGAGTGGCACCATCGACGACTCCATCCGCCATGCCATCTCCAAACTGGCTCACTACCATGCCTGCTGCACTCGAAGTGCCGAGCAGCATCTCATCGCCATGTGTGAGGACCACAGCCGTATCCTGCTGGCAGGCTGCCCATCCTATGACAAGCTGCTGTCTGCACGTGACAGGGACGACTACATGGACATCGTCCAAAACTGGCTAGGTAGGTTATACTGTGAAAATCTTCTTAGATTCTTTGTGGATTATGAGATCTATCCGAATTAAGGAGCATAAATAAAATTATCCTGTTCCTTGAAGAGTACAGTCACTAGTTGTAGTAGACACAGGTTTTATATGTTGAGTTAATATATTGATCATGATAAAGAAGCTTATTACCTTCGACTTGAGAGATCCCAGGTATCTGCTCGCTCATATGCTCACTGGCCAGACCCATGAAGATGTAGGAGGCATTATGGCAGAGATGCAGACAAAAGCCTTACTTGTAAAAACTGTCCAGAGTTTGTCTACATCTTACCCCTTTAATCCAACAGTTGTATTAACCATCCTCACAACAGTGTTTATTTTTGCTCAACAGGAGAAAATGTAAAAGAACAGAACTACATTGTGGCTCTGCAGCACCCTGTCACAACTGATATTAAAAACTCAATTAAGCTCTATGAGCTCACCCTGGATGCCCTCATTTCCTTTAATAAAAGAACTTTGATTCTCTTCCCTAACATTGATGCAGGTGAGTCTGTCCATCAGATAACTGCAACCAAAACTGTCAATAGTGCATTTTTTAAATGTTAAAAGCATTTGAATCACATTGCAGGAAAGATGTTATAATGGAGTCAGTACAACCACACAAGTACTTCATTTTACAAGCTCATATAAAATGTTCCTTAGGCTGTGTTCAAATGATTTTCTCTCCTTAAACATGTTTGGGTATATTTTATCTATAGAAACTAAAATTAATTTCTAATTTTACTTCATAACTCTTTAAAAATACTTTTAGTAAGTGACTGTTATATTTGTCACAAAACATAAATCTAATCTCCTTTGAAGGACTTCTAATTATATTATTATATAATTATATACTTATATTCCTCAGACTCTCCTTTTTGTAGACAATAATTGTTAGGTCTAGTAGTTATAGAACTAAAGTAGAAAAGAAAAATGCAGATTTGTTATATAAGAATCACATACAATTAAATATAAAATATGCAACACCTTATATATATTTAATCCACTTAACACTTGTCAGTATCTGTGAAAACAAAGTAATGATCTTTAAAAGGTGATTTTTTCATTTCTGTACAGCCAAAAGTTAGGTTCAAACCAAATTTGCAATGCAAAAGCATTGATAAATGTTCCCAGTATTGTATTGTGTATTATGTGGAGTGATAGTAATATATTTTATATTGAAATTCTTTTTAATTGCATATTAAAGAGCAGTGTAGGATGAAGTTTGTTAATAAATCACAATATAAAAGAAATAATGTATTTTGGCATGTGTGCTGTTCAGGAATGGTAGCACTCCCAGAGAATGCCAAATGCACCAGGACCTTGGTCTGATTCCAAAGTAACCTGAGTGTAACATGACCCCAGCAAAATACATCCCAAAATACATACACCTAATTCCTTCACTATTCCACACATCCACACAGTTAACTTGTATTTTTGTTTTTCTGTGGCTACTGGAACAGAGGAATTATCAAATAAATATTCTACATATCTATATATATATTCCTTTTAAAATAACCAAAAAGGTTTTGTAGTCAAATGTGTTGAAATACAGGGCAGGCTGAGTGTAAGCTCAACATAAATTCTAGACTTGTTCAGCAACAGCATAATGATAGGGATTAGTGTTGTAGCCATCATTGCCTTTCATTTAGCACATGGGTCATTATATCATTACATACATTAAAATATTCCAATAATAGTCATTAATCTGAGTGCCAACTATAAATATTCAACATAATGCAAACTTTTCACCTTGCATTTTATTCAGTTTAATAAAATCTGACGTTGGGGCTTCATTAAAGACCAACACTAGAAATAGCAGAGTGATCTGCTAGTCCTAGTGATCGCTTTTTATAGTTTGCTCTAAAATCATTTTAATCAATGTCCCTGGCAAATGCCCCAAGCACAGTGACATGCTTCACCGGTCTGGGTTCATTCGCAGGCAGTAAGGAGATGGTCCGAGTCATGAGGAAGAAAGGCATCGAGCGGCATCCTAACTTCCGAGCAGTAAAGCATGTGCCCTTTGAACAGTTCATCCAGCTGGTCGCTCATGCGGGCTGCATGATTGGCAACAGCAGCTGCGGAGTGCGGGAAGCTGGGGCTTTCGGTACACCTGTGATTAATCTCGGGACCCGGCAGACCGGAAGAGAAACAGGTTGGATTTGATGTGTAATATATCAGGATAGGTCAGGAGTGGGCTATTCTATTATATTGCGTAAATACTTTAGTGTACTTGCTTTTTGATTAAGAATGCAGATATATTTGTAGGCCTTAATCTGTTGCCAACGCATACTTGTAAACCCTACAGCAATCCTGTCAAAGGTATTTGAAACATACGGGAAATAATCATTGGCAAATTTTAGGATTGTGTTTGTTACAACAGTCAAAACTACTCAGAATATTTAATATGAAGGTTATGATGGGTAATGTTTAATTTAATTTTAAATGATTGAAAAGACGTGACCAAAAATGGTTTTCATTATACAGACTATATGGTATAACCTGAAACAATTAGTGGTAAAGATACAAAATGTACTTAAATTACTTAAATTAAGAATAGTATCTTAAATCTCCCAAATAATCTTGTAATTTCAAATGGTGTGCATTTGTTAGCTGTTGTACTGCTTTTTGCTTTTCAGGTGAAAATGTTCTTCATGTAAGGGATGCAGACACTCAGAATAAAATCTATCATGCTTTGGAACTGCAGTTTGGAAAGCGGTATCCATGGTAGGTGCTCTGAAAATACATAAACACCCTAAAATAGATGATCAATGTTTTCTTTGAGTTTACCTACTGTTTAGTGACTCATCCCGTCAGTTTTCTTTAGGGTAAATGCTAACAGCATCTTTTCACAGAAGTAGGTGTGACTCCTTGTATTGTAACATTTTTTTTATTCTGAACTTTTAAAGAGGTTTTACAATATTTACATTTATACCTCGTGACAGAAGTCAGTGTTGAAAAGTAAATTGTAGTCGTTTTCCATGTTATACTGGTTACTCCTGTTATCATTTAGAGTTTGCAAGGTGTGGTTTCCCGGGGAGAGGAAAACTGCCATAAGGTTGGATTTATGCCATTCATAATGTATGGGGGAGGCAAATGTGAAAATGTTCAAATAATTCCTCAGACTCTCCTTTTTGTAGACAATTACAGTTTTCTTCGTCTAGAGCAGTGGTTCTCAAACTGTGGTACGCGAACCTGCAGTGGTACGTGGCGTGCCGCCCGGTGGTCTGCCAAATGACCCTGGAACTGTGTTGTGTGCACTGAAAAAATCGGGATGGGTTTTCATATTTTGTATTTTTATACGTGTCGAATACGCAGCCTACGTACTACGATACAGTGCGCGCTAATACTTCAGTGGACACGAGATACTCT